TTATCTTATCTCTTATCTTAAACATAGATGGGAAACATGGAATGACACACACAAGGAAGAGAAGATGGGCACAGAAAAGGGAGATAAGGGACTGACACACCTAAACACATACAGAAGCGGACACAGACATGACGGGAGCCTAAATGTACAAAGGTTAACATGGAATAAACTCAGGATTACTACTAAGATAATAAACCGTAACACCAAAGGTGATGAAAACACAATATATATGCTTTTTGACACTGGTTCACCCTCATCCCAGTTACAGTTAAACACTAAATAAATAAAAATACACTTTAGTCAACTTTTAAATTAATCTTCCACTAATTTAATGAAAGGGTGAAATACTTTGAGTGAACCTGAGGTTGTGAGATCAGCAGTACTAGTCAATGTTTCTAATCAAACTGCTAACACCGTGATCAATAACTTCTTCATGTGTAGCAGCAGGTTGTGTAACTGAAACACAACCACACATCTCTGGTGTTTTTGACAGAACTGGCTTCTTTTTAAGGTCCGATGCACAAAACTGAGATGAGAACAAATGTAAACATCAGTCTTTAGGTTATATTTAAATTCATATCAGCATTTATTTTTAAACATTGATCATTTTATATTGATGTTGCTACGGTAACTAAAGCCTAACATTTATAGTGGTTCTAACAGAATTGAAGTGAAATGCAAGAAACAACACAAACAGTCGCACATGTCGCTGGCTCATCCTCCTACCTTTCAGCTGGTGTTTGTGCAGAGTATCCGTCAGATTCCTCATGTAGAGCTCCAGTGCAGCTGTCTGCTGTGCACTCCAAGATGATGGTGGGTTTTCGCCACACTTTACTGCCACCTATTGGTTAATATCAATTTAATTTATATGGAAAGCAAATGGAGAAGTTATTTATTTTCCTTTCCTTTCTTTACCGTCGCTTAATTTTAAGTAAGTAAATGACGTGAGTTGTATTTATATGCATGTATGTGGAAAGACAAATTAATACTTGCACTGAGATCAGCTGACAAACGTTCCCAGACTTCAGCTTGTGAGCTGCAGTCGAGTGGAATAGTTTCATGAGCCGCACAGGAGGACAAGACTGCAACCAAGCACACAAACGTAAAGAAAACCCCGATGTAATATTCATCTTCTCTTTTACGCCTTACATTTTAATCTTCCTTTAGCTGCATCTTTGTATTCCTCGTGTACACTCTGCCTGTGATCTCACATTAAGATAAACATGTGTAAATGTGAGTTTACCTGCAAGTGAGCAAAGCCAAGTCAGCGTTGCCTTTAAAGCCATGGCCACTAAACGAGGGTTTTTCTGCCCCAGAACTGAGAACTCAAAGCTATGACAGGT